CAAGGCGGGTCGTCGGAGGAATTTTTTTTTCGTAATATAGCCCATATAAGGCGCCGGTCAGTCGAGGTCAGTTTTGACCCCCTCCCCGTGGACTTTTCGGCAAACCGTCACCGTCCCTCGTGTTCTTTCGCCGCGAGGCACCATCGTGCCAAATTTGACGCGCCTGCGGCACCGGGAAGTGCCCTATCTGGCACTTGACCACTTTGCTTTATATATATAGATGTACTAATGCACTAAAAAGTAGAAAATAAATTATAGATACTATTTAAATAACTATAAAGAAAAGCGTGGGTCTCCTCCTGAATATTAGTAAAGGTAAATAGATACTAAACTGACCCACGCTTTTCTTTATAGTTATTTAAATAGTAGTCTATAATTTATTTTCTACTTTTTAGTGCTTGAGTACATAAAAGCTTGTTATTAAAACGTTTTTTATTAAATTCTTTTTGGTATACAAATTTAAATCAGGGATTTATGACAAACGATCCGATATTTTTTTCCTAATTTTGTTGTTCAAGTTTGGTTCGGATTCCTGCCTTGTTGCGTGCTTAGGTATTTAGCACTTTCATTTCCCATAACAGGTGAAAGATTCCATATCCCATACTTTCCTTTGCATACCATTTAAGCTATCATTCTGTCTCTGGCTTTATTTCTAGATCTAGATATTAAAACACTATCATTACAATTAAATCTTATTATTCTTATTACTTTTGACTTTGTCTTTTACTATAAGTATTTGTGAAGGTCGAGCATATTTGTTTTATTAACAGTTATCTTTTATAATTAAAATGAAGTTTATCATTTTACTGTTCTTACCTGAAACAAACTGTCGAGAACAGATTCGCATGTTTTGCCGCTGCTTCACTCACCCCGCTGCGATAAATATTGGCTGAAAATTGACGGCGTCTACGTTCTGTTAACTGTCAATCTCTATCATCTTGGTTTTATATAACTCTTGGCAGTCGAAATAAAGGAATCCCTTTAGATCTGCCACTTCGAGTATCACAACCTTTCACAGCACAGATCACCATTTTGAATGTAGATCTGTACACCGCGATGGCGAATGACGTGACGTCATATGAAAGGACTCTATAAATTTACATTAGTTTTTTGAGAAATCGGAAATAGCGTAAATTACTACGTAAATTACTACTTCCGGTCAATTGAAATTACTTACAAGTGAAATTTCATTTATCTATCTGAAATAGTACTCAAGTTATAGGCTTTTGAAAAAATCAAAGTAGAAAAAGTACCACTTCCGGTTATCGGAAATCGCTCAAAAATTTATACGGATCTACGAATTTGATAAAATACTTATATACAGGGGCGGAACTACAGTGCCGCCAGACGCCGCAATGTTGGGGGGGGGGGGGGGGGCACGCCATTTACGGGCCCACAACCGACCATAATAACTTATATTTCATTTTTAAAATATTTTTTTTTGCATTTTTTATTTGATGGCTGTTTTGTAAAAAGATTACCGTAGCTGCGGTTGGATTATCTTTATTCTACAGACACCAACCCACGCTCTTGTATATTCTGTGAAAGCCGAGTCCTCTTTCTCCTACAATCAAACTTAGCAAAGATAAGGAAACGTTCAAACCACGTCCATGACTTATTTCCCTTTTTTAAATAGTCAAATATGGGTGCTCATAAGCTCTTTTTCCACGTTTTCTTTAACTTGCTTTCGTCTCTATTTGTTTGTCTTTCCAATCAAATCTTGCGATCGAAATTTCTGGCACTTCCCAGTTAGCTAGCGCGCTGAAATTTTCAGGGAAGCTTTGTTTTGGATGACAATAGAATATTTAATTGTTTTTATTACTAAATTGATCCATGGAAACATTTTATTGATCATTTTAGACCGCTATATAATTGTACAAAAAACGTGGGGAAAAAGGGACATAACCCAGTAACTGTAATTTGATGAAAACAAGGTTCGGTACTCTCCCTCTTTGCTTACTGAGTAGTGTTCACGCGGTGTTTGTGCTAACAACCGTAACAACTGGTGGCCAGTATGGGGGAGACGATATGGTCGAGTGGTTGGGCACACGATTGCTATCCCACTCGACACGGGTTCAAATCTATGTGTTCTAGTCAGTAACGTATTCACACAACGTGTTTTTTACGAGTTGTCTTTTTACAAGACTTTAATGCAAACAAACAGACAAAGACTAAAAAGTAGAAAATAATAATCATTAAAAAAGTTTTTAAAAACCCACGTTTTCTGATTGAACTAAAAAGCAGAAAATAAATGCTATACATGACAATAATGCAAGCGATCACTCTACTATAAGCGATCAACAACGTGGGGCACCATGATTTTCTTACAGTTTCTAATACTGTTGACTCTCTACAAGCTCCCTAATAAAAGTCAATAGTATTATCTAATCAATAGTAATATAACTTTTACTTCGGCGCCCCACGTTTTTCATCGCTTGCATTATTGTCATGTATAGCATTTATTTTCTACTTTTTAGTTCAATCAGAAAACGTGTTTTTTTTTAACTTTTTTAATGATTATTATTAATAGATGTGTAGTAACCAAATTAAAAATCAATTACTTCTCTTAATTACTTTTTTTTATAAAGAATGACATTGTATATAAAGGAAATGTATAAAAAATTAATAATATAAACACAAAAAAACATAAAAATAATCATAAAACGAGACACCATTACTTCTACAAAGCTTTCATATTATATATTCTTTTGGCCGATTAGTTATTCAGAGGCCCTATAGCAGAGATTTTAAAAAAAAAAAACTGATTTTCACAAAACACTTACACACATGACATGGTGTAGTAATTAAAGTAATTTGTTGAATTTAAGAAAAAGAAACATTTGTTTTCAAAACCCGAACAGGCCAGCATGAGAATCCTTTGATCGTATTTTGTGTTTGTTAATATATATATATATATATATATATATATATATATATATATATATATATATATATATATATATATATATATATATATATATATATATATATATATATATATATATATATATATATAAATTGGGGGGGCTTCAAAAGTTTTGTGCTGATTGACCCTTTTTTTCTAGCTCCGCCACTGCTTATATATGAAATTTCATCAACCTAGCTGTAGCGGTAGCGGACTCAAGTTATCGTGTTTACACACAGACACATACACACACACACACACACACAGACATACGGACAAGATTGCAAAACTTTGTATACACGACAAAGTAAAAATTAACCCTTTGAGCCCGCCAGGCCGGTAAACCGGCTTCAACATTAGGCATATATGTCCGAAAAGCCGGTTTTCCGGCCCGATAATCTAGCGTCATATTCCTAGCGGCCGGTATACCGTCTAATTAAATATAATTAGCGGAAGACTGACTAAAACTGCGTATATGTCTTTTTAGTGCGTGATTATGATTCTAAAAATAGATTTTAGGAAAAGTGAAAGTGTTTACATTTCGTTGCAATGCCGCCGAAACGAAAAGCTGAGCCAAAGCCATCGACTTGGTGCAAACGATGAAGCAAAAGACCGAAATATCAACAAAAGAAGTAGAATGACTGCATCTCAGGCAATACAACTACTTATTGATTCTGATGAAGATAATATTCCTGGTCTATATTGTGATGATAGTGAAGTTGAATTTGAGACTGAACTCAGTGACATTGAAATTGACAGTGACAATTAAACTGTTCAAGTACGTTCTGATGCACGTGTCAAGCACAAAGACTTGCCGAAACAAAAAAAAATGTTTACTGATGCAAAACATGCGAAGTTTTTCTTTGCATCGGGTCCGGCAGTGATAACTGTTTTGAAAGTTATCACACAAAAGTGGACTTCTGGCGATGAACTAGTATGGCCAGGTATCAATAATAACAAAACAATTACTAAATGAAAATTGGTTTCTTCTATGTTCTATCAAAACAATAATTACGTGTTCGTTTTATATACATTGTTCTGTTCATATATTGTAAACAAATAAAGAATTTCAGAATCTTTCTGCTTTGATGTTTGATCCTGAATCTGGATATCAAATTTGGTCTGATTATCTCAAACAGTTCAAAAGTTATAGGCAAAGTTAGAAGCAGATAAGTGAAAAATGGTTTGGCCCTGGGAGCTCAGGAAATGGGAGAAATTAGGCCAGGGAGGCCAGACTCAAAGGGTTAAGTATTTAGTGTTATCTAATAATATTCCAGAAATTTTAGGGAAGATCATTCCCGCTATATTTTTTAGGTGTTTTTTTTTTTGTTTCAAATGGAAAAATATTTGGGTATGTGTGTACTGTTGGGAGTGTATCTGTGTGTGGGTAGGTGTGTTCTTAGATGTGTATAGGTGTTTCATGGGTGGAACTGGTTCTTCGACGTGTTGGTGCTAGCTTTTGTGTGTGCGTGACAGTGTGATTGTGTAGGTGTGTGTGTGTGTGTGTGTGTGTGTGTGTGTGTGTGTGTGTGTGTGTGTGAGCGCGCTTATTTGGGTATGGTGTCTTGGTCGTTTTTGCATTGGTTGAACTGGTTTTGTGCTTGTGTTTTCTTAGACGTGTTAGTAATCTTAGCGTGTGTAGGCCTATATATATATATATATATATATATATATATATATATATATATATATATATATATATATAGATATATATATATATATATATATATATATAGATATAGATATATATATATATATATATATATATATATATATGTGTGTGTGTGTGTGTGTGTGTGTTTTTGTGAGTGTGTATGTGTGTGAATGCGTGCGGTCGTGCGAGCGTGCGTGCAAGTGTGTGTGTTTGTGTGTGTGTGTGTGTGCGTGCGTGCGTGCGTGCGCGTGTATGTGTGTGTGTGAATGCGTGCGATCGTGCGTGTGTGCGTGCTTGCGTGTGTGTGAGTGTGTGCGTGTGCGTGCATGCGTGCATGCGTGCGTGTGTGTGCTTGTGTGTGTGTGTGTGTGTGAGTGTGTGCGCCCCACTTCTGAGCGTATTACATTTAAAATTATAATTTCAAAACGAGATTTCAGACATACTTTAATCGATGGCAATCCAAACAACACAAGGATCGATAACAAACACAAAAGATGACCAAACAAGCCAAACATAAGTGTGTCAGGGCGTTTAGCCAAAGCAGCTCTAATGTCCCTCTTCGAGTCCCTTTTGAACCTTGTGCGTAAGCTCTCTGCACCATCTGGATGACAACTCAACACTATCATTGTTGTATGTATTTAGAAACTTTTTAAGGCATCTTCCTAGCCTGATATCACACAAACAGCCTGTATAGCTACAGGAGCTGATGTCATGTTCTGCGTTGTTGAATAGATACACTGATTATAAATTATATATATATATATATATATATATATATATATATATATATATATATATATATATATATATATATATATATATATATATATATATATATATATATAGCAAAGTGTTGTTGAATAGATACACTGATTATAAATTATATATATATATATATATATATATATATATATATATATATATATATATATATATATATATATATATATATATATATATATATATATATATATATATATATATATAGCAAAGTGGTTGGGTGCCCGATAGGTCATTTCCCGGCACCGCAGGCGCTTCAAATTTGGCAGGATCCTGCCTTGGGACGACGTAACACGGCGGCCGGTGCCGGTTGGCCAACAAGTCCGCGATGAGGGGGTCAAATCTGACCTTGGCTGACGGCGCCCTATATGAGCTATAATCTATCGAAAAGAAATTCCTACCTAAAAACCTTTTTACAACTCCTGAGTTCGTAGACCTACCCTCATGGGTGGCCAAAAAAAACTGAAACTTATTGGAAATATGGAGCCTAAATTCTAAACTAAAAACCCCTCTAAACTGAATGAAAATCGTATAATAATAAGCTTTTGAATTATCTAAAAATAAAATAAATTTTTTCTTTAACTATATGCCTAAATTTAAAACTAGTCGCCTTATAACAGTAAGGCAACTTAATTATACAGGCATATCTTAATTAAACAACTATTGTTTTCTTTTAATTTGTTAATTTTACTTAAGAAAAAAAAGGTATAGTTTACTTTTACTATCATTTAAAAGCTTGTTCCTACAATGATGTTTATTAAAGTTTCTTTACCCTATATACAATTTAAAACGTTGGTCTGAAAGGGATATTTATTGTTTGTTACCTACACAACCATGTAAAACCTTGTTCCTACAATGATGTTTATTAATGTTTTTTACCCGTACAACTGCAACTGCCATTAGCGCACTTGACAGGTGTGACAACTTCCACAGAACACTTTTGTTTTCCGTAGCATTCGGAGTGTCTCACACAACAACTGGGGAACCGAGATCAAAATTAAAATGTTCGGTCGGTCTCGTCAATGGGTCGGTCTCGTCGTTCTGTCGGTCTCGTCGATCGGTCAGTCGGTCTCGTCGGTCGGTCAGTCGGTCTTGTCGGTCGGTATACTTACTGGTCTAACTCATCAACAGGTATACCCATCCTGTTCAACACGCAGTTGCAGCCATACTTGTAGAATTTGGAACACGAGTCATTAGTGTATTCATTAATCACCAAACACGTGTTAATCCAAGCTGATCGAATGTTCTCAAATCCTGTTGGTGTTGTTTTTTGTTTTTTTTTTGTAGACATTAGATTCCAAAGAGTTTTTATGTTTGTAAATATATGTGCATGAGTGTGTGCTGGGATTAGGTTTAAGTTAAAGTATTTTTATTGGATTTTTTAAAGAATATGTTTTGTACAAACATAGCATTTTAAATAGTTCAATTGATTTTTTTATGTGTAAGCCTACCTATGTATATATATATATATATATATATATATATATATATATATATATATATATATATATATATATATACGACTTATATGTTCATGTGATATTGAACTGAGTGTGTAATATAAGTATAAACATATGTGGATATACTCTAAGGTAGATTTATACTCTTATTATAACAAACTATTTTCTTTTTAAATGTATTTGTTGGGTAGTGTTAGAAAGCTCTAATGCACCTCAGGAGTAAATGAGTTCAATATTTCTAAGTATACATCTATTTAGGGATCTCTTATATAGTACAGCTTGTTATTTTTTAACGTTGATCTAATGGTTAAATTGAAAAAAAAATTAACCTGAATAAGCCAGTACGAGGAATATCAAGTTGAAAGACAATCGATTCATGCTGTGGAAATAGAGGTTATTCAATTTTTTTTTCCTGAAAATTAAATTTAATTAGGTGTTTAACATTTATTTAAAATTTGTTTAAAATTTGTTTCACATTTATTTTTTAGTCACGAAAGGCTAACAAAATGTTCATTTCATATTTTTTTTTTGTGGACATTATTTTGAAAATGTACAACGAAAATCTGGCTTATTATGTTTACAAGCTTTTATTTAGTTGGTAACGTAAATTTGTTTGTTTTTATTGGTTTGTTTGTGGCCAATCTTGTAACTCATTTTTTACCCATTTTAATAAAACTTTCCACTTCGATGACAATACACGTCTACTTATTTTTTTCATTTTAATTAGATATTTTATTAATTATTTTAAAAAATACTTAAACGATTTCGAAACTAAGATGAGATAACAAATTTAAATCACTGATAGATTACTATATTCATTAACCGAATGCGAGATAACTAGTTAAACGCTGTCACCCTAACAGTCTGGTGAGCTGTGGTTCACGAGAATGTTTACAATCGTAAAACCCGTCGATTTAGTGAAGGCTAGGAGGGGCAGATAATAAAGTTTTCAAATTATTCCAAAGTAAGGGGAGGTAACAGAATTTAGAAATTGTTGTATAATATGGTCACGGACGGCGGCTTTCACGGGGCAGATAATTGTCTTTCAGAGCTACCGATGGTGTTTTAAAGCAAAATATTTTTGGGAATATCTAAAAAGTTGAAAACAAAACAAATATATATTTAAAAAAAAAAAACTTTACAGCCACAAGCTTTTAGATCACTGAAAATTAAAACATAAAACTAATTTACTTTCTTTAATAAAAACTAATGGTTTCTCATGAGATATGTTACATATTTAGTGACAAAGGCTTCAGTTAAATATAGCAAATTAGTTTTACTTTCTCAATGTCGGTGCATTTAAAAGCTTGTTGCTATAAAAGTTTTTTATATTTGTTTTTTCAAATACAGTATAAATTATATATAGCTGGAATAATTGAACTAAAGTTACCTGATGGGTCTGCTGTGGTTTCTTCGAGGGGATATTTCACTTGTATGACTTATCTTAGCAATGGTTGAAATAATAAGTCTTCGTGTCTATCTCTGACGCAATCTGAAATTCAATTACATTTTTTAATAACGTTCATTTAAATCCATCGATAGCTTTATTAACCCTTTAATAAGTATGTTAAACCTACGCACATTTTGGAAACTTATATTTATACATATAAAGGTAAAATAACATTATAAAAAGGTTGGTTTTAAATTGATAATGTGAAATTTTTAATATAAGATATGGAATATGTTAGCTAGTGTGTATATTTTTAAAAATAAAGTCGGATATTATCAATATTCTTTTGCACCTTTTTGATTACCAAGGAACGCAGCCACCCAATGTTCTACTCAATACCCCCAAGTTGTTACAGGACCTTTTAGTTTTGGCTACCCAACTTTTCATACATCCTCACAAAAAGCCAGACACCCCCCTCCTCCTAAAATGACGTAATACCTCAGCCTACGGATTTGTGGATGACAAGCATATAGTAAAAGAACTCTAAATTTAAAACTTTCAAAGGCATACGAAATGACTATGTTTCTGTATCTGTGTTTGTATCATTGATCTCCCTGTTACCATCCTGCATCTACAACAGAGGCGTAGCGTCCCTTCCCGGTGCCCGGGGACAAACTTAATTTGGTGCCCCCCCCCCCCCCCCCCATATATTTTTATATTTATAATGCAAAACAGCAGCTAAAATGTGCCATTAATTTTGTTCAACCCATTTTGGCGCCCCTAGGGTCTGCGCCCAGGGACTTATGTACCCCCCCCCCCCCCCCGCTACGCCTCTGGTCTACAGCGAACACACAAATGCTTCATTAGAAATAAATTAAAACGATGATCGCGTTCCAATGCTGGGAAGATTTGTAGTGTAGCTATTTGTTGTAATTATTGTGTGTTTGATGTTTGTTTGTTTTTTTGTTTGTTGTTTTTTCTTTGGGTCTTCTGTGGGTGGTTTTTTAATCTAAAAGAAAAACATTTGTTCAATACCGAGGACTCTTACCCAACCCTATTTCCCTGTGAATTCATTATATAGGACTCTTATATAAGTAAAGTTCCCTTTCAAACCTGACAGTCTATAGGGTAAGTAGAGTTCACTTGTATCTGAGACCTCGGCATATGAAGTGTCATCAGCACTATGCTCAGCCGCCTAACGTGAGTCTAGTGACAGAGTTGGGTGAACTCAGGGACGGTCTACTGAATTGAACCCGGATTCGAACTCGAGACTAATGGGTTAGCAGTCCAGCTCATTACCGTTAGGCCACACCGTCCCACAGGATTATTATATAGGACTATTATAATGGACCGCTATGTAGGATCATCTTATATTTTACATTTTTAACGCGGCTACCCAACGCTTGTTAAACCACAGAGGGTTAAATTTACCATCATTACGGTGAACAGGAGATCAACACAGGTATTTGTGAAGGTAATAAGTTTAAGATTCAATCACTCTGAATGAGTGGCATAGACAAGAGAGGCCATTCCCCCTCCTTCCCACCCCCCACACCAAACAGTCTGCTGGTTCTGATTGAATATATATATATATATATATATATATATATATATATATATATATATATATATATATATATATATATATATATATATATATATATATATATATATATATATATATATATATATATATATATATATATATATATATATATATATATATATATATATATATATATATATATTTATAAATATATATATATATATATATATATATATATATATATATATATATGTATGTGTGTGTGTGTTTGTGTGTGTGTGTGTGTGTGTGTGTGTGTGTTACGGTCAAAGCCCGAAGTCGGCCAATGCGCGAATTGGCCGGCCAAAGTCTTAATTGGAAGATCATGAGCAGGTTTTTTTTTATGCCGTAAGGATCATGAAATTAAGTTTTTATTGATTATTAATTAAAGTAAATGACAGAAACATTCAAAAATTTTATTGTACTATAGTCTGATCAATCATTATTATCATTTGTTACAACAAGTTGAACTTTTATGGCATTTAGAATTACATAATAGCTTGTTATTTTTACACTTGCAGCGATTTGTTGTGCACTTGGTTGTGCAAATGCAGAGATTGTAACCTTGGCCCCCAGTCAATGATTGTGAAGATGCGATGGTTTGTAGTGATTTTTCCTCAGTGCCAACTAACGACAATAAGAGCAGTTTTTCGTGAAGAATTGGAAACTCACTTCTAGCATACAGTTGTTTTAGAACACCATGTTCCGTTTCTAATTTGTAGATTCCGCCCTCGACGCTCATGACATCTGCAATCACGCTTCGGGGATCACCGCGATCTCTGTCAACATCTGGAACACGGATGCGTACATTCTTTGGTGATATTTTTATACTTTCTATTCAGCTCTTTTTCCATCCGTGTGCGACCTCCATGTTCGATTTTCAAGTCAGTTTCATTGATCAAGTCGAACAACTCTTCTGAGTGCTTGTAGTACAAAATAGCACCATTGTCTTCTGTTAGTGGTACAATAAGTTTTTCTTTACCGTCAACTACAATAACATCATATTTGTTTAGTCGCCTTGCATATAGAATGCTATACAAACAAGAGTTAAACAATGCGTTACTCACAATGAAACCGCACCCAGAAAAATGAAAACGCAATCACAACTTAGTCTAGATAGAACATTGTCCAACACATCCCGGCCAGTGTGCGCATTGGCCGGCCAATGTACGAAATACTATCTTAGTGCTAAGTTGTTCGGGCTTTGGCCAAGAGAGCTGGCCAATGCGCGCATTGGCCGCCCTTCGGGCTTTGACCGTAACATATATATATATATATATATATATATATATATATATATATATATATATATATATATATATATATTTATCTATTTATTTATATATATATATATATATATATATATATATATATATATATATATATATATATATATATATATATATATATATATACGTACGTGTGTGTGGGTGTGTATAGGGGTGTAAGTGTACAGTGGAGGAGATTTCGGCTTTTTACAAGCTTTTTTGTTTTTACAAGCTTTTATTTAACTCACTTCCTCTGTCGTCAGTCGACAGTCGTCAGTCTTGATTCAGGGGTCTCCAAACTACGGCCCGCGGGCCGGATGAGGCCCTCGAAGTCCTCTCATCCGACCCGTTGAGATCTTTTTGTCCAAGGAAAAATCGTTTGTTGGTGATGGCTGAAGAACTTTACCCAGAAAAATCAAAGACACGCCTGAGAGAAACTGGTCCCCGAACTGAAACTTGATAGTTGATGCGGCCCTCGGACTGAAAAGTTTGGAGACCCCTTGTCTAGATCGAAACACCGGAGCGAAATTACAGGCACTTCTACTTGATAGATAAGGTTCGTAATTGGTACGTGGGTCAAGACATGAAGACAATGCATCGTGAGATTAAATTTTACTTAATTGGATGCCTCATTAATTTTTTTATGAATTAATTAAAATGTTGACCAAATTAGTAGACATTTCTATGTTGCCTTTGTCTATTGGAACAGGGATACAGAGCAGGTGAAGTAGAGTTCATATGTTTCTTTGTCCTCAGTATATAACGTGGATAGTGTGGTCAGAGCCGGAATCTTTTTTTTTAAAGATAAAACATGTTGTCTGAGACTTGGCGGAACACTGGGCGGGTGACGTAGTGTTGAGTAGGTGTAAAGTTCACCTGTGACGACAGCATATGAAGAGATAGTGTGGTCAGACCCACACTCAGCCAAAATCTGTGTTTTCACAGACATGAACATGTCTGAGTTGGGAGGACACTGGGCAGGTGAAGTAGAGTTGACCTGTTTTTGTGACCTCAGCATATGAAAAGATTATGTTGTCAGACGAAGTCAGTGTTTTTAAAAGACAAAAACGTCTGAGATGTGACGCCTTTCTGAATGTGGGGTCTAGTTATTTTGTGATGATTAGTGACAGACGTGATGTCATTTATGGATGACCCCCGAAACCCACTGTTATCTAACTAGATAACGGGTAGTCCAGTATACTACTAAAACTCAAGTTTACATGTTTGATAGCTCATTTTTCTGTTTGTTTGTTTGTCTGATTTGTTATTGGGGAGAATCTGTATTATGTGTAGAGCTGTAAAATAGGATTTTGGGTGGAGAACATTGTTCTTTCTTAAACACACTGTTAATTACAAACTAATTTAAAGCCGTTAATTAATTTATTGATATATTCATTGGTAGATTAACCACATTAATTATACAAGTTTAGAACAATGACTTTACTAATCGTAAAAAAGATGTATTTTCTTTTTACAACAATGTTTTCAATTATTTTTTCTTAGGGCCTCTATGTGAATAATAAAGTTGACTATCATGACCTCGCGGGGCACAGGGCAGGTGAAGTAGAGTTCACCTGTTTGTATGTTCTCAGCATATGAAGAGATAGTGTGGTCAGAGCCATGCTCGTGACATTAAATTTGACTTAATTGGATGCCTAAATGATTTTTTATGAATTAATTAAATTGTTGACCAAATTAGTAGGCATTTCTGTCCAACCACACCACACGCGTCATCACGTTCAATAGCGCGTCATCACGTTCAATAGGCGTGCATTGGTTTTTAGTCATGAAACTCTATTGTAAATAAAAACAATCATGTAAAGTACTAAAAAAAATTTCATAAAACACGTTTTAATAACAAGCTTTTATCATCCTAATATATAATAGCCCATGTGCGCGTTTATAGTTGTGAAAAAGAATGCATAAAACAGTGACGTCACTAATGTTTATACATTAACTAACGACGTCATCTGCCGTGTTTAGAATAAAAAGAAATGAACTATTTCATTCAAATAGTATTTAGATATACGTACGCTGTAAAATTTATACAATACAATTTTGCTCGGGCTAAACTTTAAAAAAAAAAATTCTATTAGGATTCTAGATCAAGATATTATTCTAGATCTAGATATTGTAGATCATATAGATCTAGAGATTTTAGATCTAGATCTAGATGATCTAGATCTACGGAAAAACTAGACTTACACAGATGTAGACCCTACCTAGATCTAGAATCTGTAATAGATTGGGATTTGT